CTGTCTGTGTCATGTATTGTATGTCACAATTGCAGGATGCTGGGCACACGCGCGCCCCGAATAAGTGACCAAGTTCTGTGGGTGTGTACCCCACGCCAGTGTAGTAGCCACGGTCGTCCGCACGCCACGAAGTGAAGTGTCCCAACGTCATAGGGCGGGAAGCTGGGTTTGGGTGGTCGCGAAGAGTCGTTTGGATATTTGGTAGAGCTTGAACTGCCCCCCCCACGAAGTGGGGGTATTGTCTCGCGTCGCATGAAAACCCTGGCACTGGTGAGAACACTGAGCGTTCGGGTAAAATGATTGTTGTTGTTGTTGTTGTTGTTGTTGTTGTGGTTGTGTGTGGGGGGGCCCACGGAGGCCGAGCAGGGGGCCCCCAAAACCGGCCGCCGCGCCGCCGCTCCCCAGGCAAGGAGGGGCGTCCGGGCCTGGCCTGCCCTCTCGAGTCCGTTGGGTGCTCCATCTCTCCCTCCCTCCCTCCCCTCCCCCCTCTTTCCCCTCCCCCCCCTCCTCCCCTCCCCCCTCCCCCCCTCTACTCCCTCCCCCGCCCCCCCCTCCCTCCCTCCCCCCTCCCCTCCCTCCCTCTCCCCCCCCCCCCTTCCCTCCCCCCCTCCCCCCCCCTCTCCCCCCCCCTCTCCCCCCTCCCCCCTTCCTTCCCTCCCTCCCGGGGAGGGGGGCGACGCAGGCTTGTCTTGCCTCCGCGGGCCTCCCGGAAAGCGGCGCGCTTCCCGAGAGCGCCTCTCGTCTCGGCGGCCAGCGAAAGGGGGGGGAGCGGGAGAAAGTGAGAAGGAGAAGGCCTCTCCCAGAGAGCAGCGGGGCTTCTCAGAGAGCCAGGCGCGCCTTTTCCTCCTCCTTCCTCCCCCCATCACCTCCTCCTCCTCCTCCTCCCTCCTCCCTCCTCCTCCTCCTCCTGCTCCTGCTCCTTCCTGTCCTCCTCCTCCGCCTCCTCCTCCTCCTCCTCCTCTTCCTCCCTCCTCCTCCTCCTCTTCCTCCTGCTCCTGTCCTCCTCCCCTCCTCCTCCTCCTCCTCCTCCTCCTCCTCCTCCTCCTCCTCCTCCTCCTCCTCCGCCGACTGTCGGCGGGCGTCTCGCAAATCAGCCTCCCAGTTCACGGCTAGCCCCTCCTCCACTCCTTGGTGGGTTTGGAATGCGGGTGCCTCCTGGCGAAAACGGCCCCCCTGGGTTCGGGGGCTCAAGGGACGGGGTCAATGCAAGCCGGGGTCAGCCAGGGTCAGATCTTGCAGGATCTTGCAGAGCCAGGCGCGCATTGACCCAGATGGGTGCAAGATCCTGCAGGATCTTGCAGGATCTTGCAAGGCTTGACTGACCCGGGTCTGGACTGACCTGGGTCAGAAGTTCCCCCAAGGGTGGGGGGTGAGGAGCCGTGGTGCACCCCCATTCGAAGAAACACGCCATAAAAAAAAACATACACTTTTGACGCTCCGCTCGGATTTCTTGGATCCGCGCTGGGGCCCCCTGGCGGTGCCTCTGGCGCCGCCCCTGGCGCGCGCCGCGAAAACAGCCTCCCTGGGGGAACCGTGGTGCACCCCACTTTACCGGTTGTGAATATCGCTGATCGTTCGGGACGTGGAGCGATGTTTCTTGTCAACTCAAACTCCGTGCTGCATCACTGGTTCGTATTGGACATCATGAGCGTTGCCGCGGTTGGTGCAAGAGGGGCGTCATGCCGCACACATTCCTTGCCCGGTTTTGGTATGTCGGAGAAGATGGCTGCCTCTCCCGGGCGATTCTCATCGGCTCTTCGTTTTACCCATTCCGGGCGTCCAAGAGCGTCAATGAGCAAAAGCAGTACCAAAACACGTGGCTGGAGCAACCGCGCGAGCCCACATGGCCCTCCGCCTCCTCTCCCTCCTCCTCCTCCGCCTCCTCCTCCGCCTCCTCCTCCGCATCGTCTCCCTCCCGCCTCCTCCGCCTCCGCCTCGCCTCCCTCCTCGTCTTCCTCCTCCCCTGCCTCCTGCTCCTGCTCCTGCTCCTGCTCCTGCCTAGTCTTAAGTCGGGCCTGTCCCTCTACAGGGGGAGTATCCAAAAATAATCAAAACATGGACTTGGGACTTTTTTTTTTAGTATTTTTTTATCAGTTTGGAGTATTTTGGGGGATATGTTTTATTTTGTCGTCAAAAATCCCCCTGTATGGGGGACACGCCCGACTTAAGCCTAGTCCTCCTCTTCCTCCCCCGACCTAACCCAAGTGTCGGGCCGAACGAAAGTGGGGGATCGGGAAAGGGGGGGTTACGACATTTGCTGCATGCAGCTGGTTTCGGCCTCACCGAGGGGCCCATTCCTCGATACATGGCTCCCTCCGGCGCCGGGAGGCGCCGGGAAAATCGGCTGCGTGAGCTGATGCTCAAGCCCCCCCTTTGCTATCCCCCCCTTTCGCCCTGCCCGAAAGCGGCCCTCGCCTGCGCAGGCCCCGGCCCCGACGCCTGTGGGTTTCAACGAGTGCAAGCAGCGGCTGAGGAAGGCCTTCGCCGGCCAGGCGCAGAGGCGCGCAACGGGGGGGGAGGAGTGAGGAGGGGTGAGGGGGAGGAGGAGGAGGAGGAGGAGGAGGAGGAGGAGGAGGAGGAGGAGGAGGCGGAGGAGGAGGAGGAGGAGGAGGAGGAGGAGGAGGAGGAAGATAGTGGAGGAGGGAGGGAAGGAGGATTGAGGAGGGTGAGCTGCACGAGGAGGAGTGGAAGATGGCGGCAGAGGAAGGAGGAGTCGGACGAGGAGTCGGAGGAGTCGGACGAGGAGTTGGAGGACGATGGCAGTGGCATGATTTATGTAGGCGTTTGTGGGTTCGTATGGACTCCTTGGGAGTTTGGTGAATCTTGGGTGGCGAGGCTGTCGTGCAAGCCCCGCACCTGGAAGCCACATGTTGGCAGATCTGCCGCCGCCTGGACCCGATAACTGCCACCCCAGACCTGAGACTTGAGACAAGAGACCTGATACTTCATACCTGGTACCTGATACTTGATGCCTGAGACCTGACATCTACTACCTGATACCTGATACTTGATACCTGAGACCTGACCCCTCATAACTCATATCTGAGACCTGAGACCTGATACCCAGTACCTGAGACCCGATGCCTGAGACCTGAAACCTGGTACCCGATACGTGATACTTCACACCTGAGACCTGATCCTTAGTAACTCATACCTGAGACCTCAGACCTGAGACTTGGAAACTGAGACATGGTGATACGAGTCATGGCTCCAATATCAAAACATGAGAATCGTATGGTGGACGCCTGGAGACACTGACCCTGTCACACGGAATCTCTGTTGCAAGAGAGTTTGAGTTTTGCAGTTCTGAAGTTGTCGAGTACGCGAACATTGCATTCTCCAAAAACACGCAACGCAGACATGCAATTCACCGCAGATCCTATGTTTTTCCATGGTGAAATCGTCTTGGGCCCACTCCGGCCCACGGAAATTTCCAATTTACAGTTCAGGTGGGGCACTCAGCATTTTGGATCATGCACTCACCACCTACAGTAAGCAGCAACGCAATCGTGGCGAGGCCCGAAGCAGTCCTCCCCGACTGGCGTTTTGGCCACGCTCGTAGGACAGCCTGGCGCCGCACATGCTAAGTGCCAGCACGCTTGGGGAGGCGAGTTGCGTATACTTGCCAGCCGCTCCCATCTCCTGCTCCTGCAGCAAAAAAGTGGCCATGCACCACCTTGAGGAGGAGGAGGAGGAGGAGGAGGAGGAGGAGGAGGAGCAGGAGGAGGAGGAGGAGGAGGAGGAGGAGGAGCAGAAGGAGGAGGAGCCCTCTCCTGGGCCCTCCTCTGGGCCCCTGGGCACGCATCGGCCCCTGCGAGGGCCCTGGGCTGCCCCCTGGGAGCTCCCCCGGGGCCCCTCCGGCGGCCCCGCGCGCACCGGGCCGCGCGAGGGCCCCGGGCCCTCCCCCGGGGCCCTCTGGGGGCCCTGCAGGGGATCGGGTCCCGCGAGAGCCCCGGACCTGCCCCTGGGCCCTCCCCCTGGGCCCTGCGGGCATCGGGCCCTGTCGGGGGCCCCACGCAAATACGACGAAGCACATGCATGTGCCGTAAATGCATATACGTGCACAGGCACGTGCATATATACATGTAGGGGAGATCCCGGCCCCAGGACCCCGGGCCGGTCCCCCGCCCCTTGTACGACGGTGCCCCCCCGCTCCGAGGCGCTCTCCGGGAGGGAGGGAGGGAGGGAGGGAGGGAGGGGAGGGGAGGGGAGGGGAGGGGAGGGGAGGGGAGGGGAGCTCAAGATCGCTCCCAAAGCGTCCAATACACCCCGAGAGCGCCGAAGATGCCTTGTGAGCGGCCTCCGAAGGCTTACAGGCTGCGCCAGGACGGCCCCGGGCAGGCCTGAGTGGGCGCCCGAGGCCCCAGACGAGCGCTCCGAGAGACTATGATTTCCCAGGGTTTTATGCCCAACCATCCTGTGGTGTTGGGTCGTCCTTTTGAAGAGACAGCGCCCCGCGTCTCCTTCCTTCCTCACTTCTCCTCTCCTCTCCTCCTCCTCCTCCTCCTCCTCCTCCTCCTCCTCCTCCTCCTCCTCCTCCTCCTCCTCCTCCTCCTCCTCCCCCTCCTCCCTCCTCCCTAGCGCCCAGTACAGCGTTTCGTGACCCCATAGCGAGCTCCACCGAAGGTCCCAGTGGCGCAGTCCGCATGCGTTTCCCCCACCCATTACAGCGTTTTGTGGTCCCAGAGGGAGCTCCGCCGAAGGATCCTGTGGCGTAGCCCGCATGCGTCTCCCCCACCCAGTACAGCGTGTCGTGGTCCTATAGGGAGCTCCACCGAAGGTTCCAGTGGCGCAGTCCGCATGCGTCTCCCACACCCAGGGGAGCCCTACCGCTGGTCCTGGTGGCGCAGTCCGCATACGGCTCCCACACCCAGCACAGCGGTTCGTGGCCCTATGGGGAGCCTTACCGCTGGTCCTAGTGGCGCAGTCCGCATGCGTCTCCCACACCCAGTACAGCGTTTAGTGGCCCCACAGGGAGCTCCACCGAAGGTCCCAGTTGCGCAGCCCGCATGCGTCTCCCCCACCCAGTACAGCGTTTCGTGTCCCTATAGGGAGCTAAACCGAAGGTCCCAGTTGCGCAGTCCGCATGCGTCTCCCACACCTGGTAAAGCGTTTCATGGCCCCAAATTGAGCTCCCTCGAAGGTCCCAGTGGCGCAGTCCGCATGCGTCTCCCCCACCCATTACAGCGTTTTGTGGTCCCACAGGGAGCTCCGCCGAAGGATCCTGTGGCGTAGCCCGCATGCGTCTCCCCCACCCATTACAGCGTGTCGTTGTCCCATAGGGAGCTCCACCGACGGTCCCAGTGGCGCAGCCCGCATGCGTCCCCCCACCCAGTACAGCGATTCGTGGCCCCGTAGGGAGCTCCACCGACGGTCCCAGGGGCGCGGCCCGCATGCGTCTCCCCCACCCATTACAGCGTTTTGTGGTCCCACAGGGAGGTCCACCTAAGGACCCAGTTGCGCAGCCCGCATGCGTCTCCCACACCCAGTACAGCGTTCCGTGGCCCCATACGGAGCTGCACCGAAGGTTCCTGCGGGGCAGCCCGCAAGCGTCTCCCCCACCCAGTGCAGCGTTTCGTGGCCCCATACGGAGCTCCACCGAAGTTCCCAGAGGCGCAGCCCGCATGCGCCTCCCACACCCAGTACAGCGTTTCGTGACCCCATAGGGAACTCCGCCAAAGGCCGCAGTGTCGCAGCCCGCATGCGTCTCTCCCGCCCGGTACAGCGCTTCGTGGCCTTATAAGGGGGCTTGCTTCGCCAGGCTAATTGACATGTATAGGGGTCCTCCATTTTCCGAGTTTCAGAAAACTGAAGACGGCCCAAGAGGCTTCCAACACCGCTTCGAGACGGGCCAAGGGGCCCCCAGGATGGCCCTGGGACGGCCCAACAGGGCTCCATGACGGTCCTAGGGGCGCCCAAGACGGCCCAAAGACTTTAATTATCCCAGTGCGACCCCACCTAGGAGTTGGAGCATCTAGGAAAGCAACATCTACATCTACACCGACAGCTATATTAACATCCACACCTGCATCTACATCTACATCAGCATCAACAGCGAGACTCACACCTGCATCCACATCCACACCTACATCTACACCTACATCTACATCTACATCTACATCTACATCTACACCTACAACCACATATACACCTACACCTACATCTACATTTGCATCTACAATGTCGCATTGGTGTTGCGTTTGCTTTGCATGCTATGCTATGCTTGGCTTGGCTACGCTATGCTATGCTATGCTGTGCTAATGCTGCGCTGCGCTATGCTGCGCTGCGCTAAGCTAAACTAAGGTAAGCTAAGCTGTGCTTCGCTATGCTATGCAATGCTATGCAATGCTTCGCTATGATATGCTATGCTATGCTGCGCTATGCTATGCTATGATATGATAAGATCTGCTGTGCTGCGCTATGCTATGTTATGCTATGCTATGCTGCGCTATGCTATGCTATGCTGTGCTGTGCTATGCTACGATATGATGCGCTGTGATATGATAAGCAATGCTATGCTATGCTATGCTATGATGCGCTATGCTATGCTATGCTATGCTGAACTATGCTATGCTATGCTATGCTATGCTATGCATGGCTATGTTATGCTATGCTATGATGTGCTAATGCTGCGCTGCGCTATGCTGGGCTGCGCTAAGCTAAGGTAAGGTAAGCTATGCTAAGCTAAGCTAAGCTAAACCAAGCTACGCTAAGCTAAGCTAAGGTAAGGTAAGCTAAGCTAAGCTAAGCTAAGCCTAGCTAAGCTAAACTAAGCTAAACTAAGCTAAGCTAGGCTAGGCAAAGCGGGGGATCCTGGGGGAACCGCGGGGCGGATACTGGGGGAACCGCCCGGGGCGGGGACCACTGCCCGGCCCTTTAAGCACACCGAGTAGGAACCCTTCTAGGCAGAGCCTAGGTAGGGAAAAACGACCTTGAAGACGACCTGGGACGACCCCAAGCCCCAGGGGAGCATGAACCGAAATTTCGAGTGTATCGCCCCAAGGGGCTCCCAGGAGGCCCCAAGAAGGCGCCAGGACAGGCTTCAGTGGACGCCCGAGGCCCCAGACGAGTGCCCCAAGAGGCAATACTTCCCTACCTAGGCTCTGCCTAGAAGGGTTCTTACTCGGTGTGCTTGAAGGGCCGGGCAGTGGTCCCCGCCCCGGGCGGTTCCCCCAGTATCCGCCCCGCGTTTCCCCCAGTTACGTCCCCTTAGCTTAGCGTTGCTCATCTCATCTTAGCTTATATTAGCTCAGCTCAGCTCAGCTCAGCTTAGCTTCATCTTAGCTTCGCTTAGCTGTAGCTTAGCTTAACTTAGTGTAGATTAGCTTAGCTTTAGCTGATATTTAGCTTAGCTTTAGCTGAGATTTAGCTTAGCTTTAGCTTAGCTTCAGCTTAGCTTCAGCTGAGCTTTAGCTTAGCGTTAGCTGCTTCAGCTTAGCTTTACTTTAACTTCAGCTTAGCTTTAGCTTTGATTTAGCTTAGCTTTAGCTTAGCTTCAGC